GAAGGAAATGAAAAGACGCAAAAATTTTAACCTTTCAGTCGTCACATTGGTCACAACGTTGGTATCATTTTTCTGAAAATACACTGTGTAGAATGTGGGATAAAGTAAATGAATAATTATCTGGTACTTAAGTTCTATTTATTGTCACTGATGTCCTTGAGAACCAAAAATCTCAGTGTGACAAAAAGGAGATATAAGACAGAAGTTAAATAAATGCCTGCAAACCTGCATTTGAGTGGAAAATATCAGTATGAACTCCTGATGTGCTATATCCTGAAAAAACCCTATTTTCTAATTTGGTCTATTAAAAAGTCCTGTAAACAGTGACCATTCCAATAGCAATGAGAATCCTAGCACCCAGACTGTGGTCTTGAAATACCATTCCCCACTAAAAGGCAGGACTTCTTGGACAAATGACTGATTCTAAAACCCATACAGAAATGAAAAGAGCCAAGGCAATTCTGAAGAAAAAGCTGAAGGACTTACACTACCAGACACCAAGACCTCCTAGGGTGTGTTAGTGGTTCTCCCGACACAGCTCAGGCAACCAGGGGAACAAAACAGAGCCCAGAAACGGGTCCGCACAGTGATGGTACTTTATTTACAACAAAGATAACACCACAGTGAGTGAAGGGTGACCTTTTCGACAAGGGTGCTGTGCCAGACGGAGAGCCACACGGGAAAGGAATTGTGACCTCTAGCATCACAGCAGAAACAAAACTTAACTCTACATAGACTGTACAGCCCAGTGCGAAAGGTCAAAGAGAGTTTTAGGAAAACAGATGTAAGATAACATCTTCACTGCTCTGTGGAAAGCAAAGATACATTAAACAGATCAAAGGACTCTCAAAGTGCTAACGCCTTTGGGAGTAAAAATTCAAGACAAAAGAGTAGAAGAAAATGTGCAATTCCCATATCTACAAAGGACCTATATCTGAACTCCTACAAATCTATTTTTTATAAAATCTTACAACCTAGTAGAAAGAAGGGCCCAAAGACTTAAACCAGAACTTCACAAAATAATATATCTGAGCAGACGATAAACCTACAAAGAGATGCTTAACTTCACTCACCATCAGTTAACTTTGAAACCAGCTCACCAGAATGGCTAAAATGAAAGCCAAACTATAGTGGAACAAAGTATTTGCAACACATATATAACCAACAGAGAGTTCATATCCAGAATAAAAACTCTTTAAAAAAAATTAAGAAAATGGCAGTCCAATGGAAAAGGGCCAATAAACATTTGTAAAAGCACCTGACCTCATAACAGAAGTGCAAATTAAAACAACAGTGAGATACCACAATGAGATAGTGTGGTACTGGCATAAAACAGGCATATAGATTGATGTGATAAAACTGAGAGTCCAGAAATTAAACTTTACATTTGTGGTCAATTGGTTTTTGATAAGGATACCAAGGAAACTCCATGAAAAAACAGCTTCTGCAGCAAATGGTGCTGGGACAACTGGATATCCATGTGCTAAAAGATGAATTTAGACTTCTACCTCACATTACACAAAAAATTAACTTGAAATGGATCGCAGACCTAAATATAAGAACTAAAACTAGAAAAATTCTAGAAGAAAACACAGGAAAAAAAACTTTGTGACCTTTAGTTAGGCAAAGAGTTCTTGGATACAACATCAAAAGCAAGATCTATAAAAGAAAAATGTGATAAATTGGACCTCATCAAAATTCAAAATTTGGGGGCTTCAAAGACACTATTAAAGAGTGTAAAAAGTCAAGACACAAACTGGGAGAAAATATTTGTAAATAATATACCTGATAAAGGACTCATATCCAGATTACATAAAGAATTGGCATAATTCAGCAATAAGAAGATAGGCAATTTAAAAATAGGCAAAAGATCTGATAGACATTTCATCAAAAAAGATACACAGGGACTTCCCTGGTGGTCCAGTGGTTAAGACTCCACGCTTCCACCGCAGGGGGCACGGGTTCCATATCTGGCTGGGGAACTTGGATCCCGCACGCCACACAGCACAGCCAAAAAAAACCCCCACAACGTATACAAATGGCTAACAGGTATATGAAAAGATGCTTAATATCTGTAGCCAGTAGGGAAATGCAAATTAAAACCATAAGGAGATAGATACCAGTACACACCCATAAGAAAGACTATAATCAAAAAGACAGACGATGACAAGTGTTATCAAGAATGTGGGTATATCGGAACCCCATACACTGCTGGTGGGAACTTAAAATGGTCTGGAAGACAGTTCAGCAGTTTTTTTAAAAAGCTAAACATAAACTTACCACACAAGCCAGCAGTTCCCCTCCTGGGTATCTACCCAAGAAAGATGAAAATATATGCTCAAACAAAGACTTGTATTCAAATATTCAGAGCAGCGTTATACGCAATAGCTAAAAAAACAACTCAAATATCCATCAATTGTTGAATGGATAAATAAAATGTGGGATATTCATATAACAGAGAATATTATTCAGCATTAAAAAGAAACTACTTAAAGTAGAGGAACCTCAAAAACATTATATTAAGAGTCAAATGTAAAAGACTACATATTGCCGATTTCATTTATGTGCAATGTCCAGAAAAGGCAAGTTTAGAGGCAGAAAACAGATGAGTTGCCTGGAGCTGGGGATAGGAGTGGGGATTGATGGCAAATGGGCATAAGGTAATTTTTTTTGATGGGTGATGGAAATATTCTAAAACTGTATTGTGGTAATGGTTGCACAACCCTACATGTTTATTGAAATAATCAAAATTTCCAATTACCGTTAGTGAATTTTTCAGTATGTAAATTATGCCTCGATAAAACTCTTAAAAAAAGGCTATGATTTGAAAAAAAAAAAGAAAAGAAAATCTATGGATAGAGCTGAAGTTATACTCAGAGGAATACATGGCTTTAAGTGAACTCTGTATTTAACTTAATAAATGAGGAAAACAATAAAATAAAACAAAACAGGATAAGTAATTAAGATAAAAGTGGAAGTGAAATATATTGAAAACAAAATAATCAAAAGAATAAATGAACTCATAAGGAGACATCACCACCACAGAGGTAAAAGAAATTAAAAGATTCATTAAAGAACACAATGTACCACTCAATACGTGACCTACTCTAAACTGACCTAACGTGGAAGGAATCTGCAGATTTATCACTGAGCAAAGCACTAGGCCCAGCTGAGTTCTAAAGCAACCTTTTCACCCTATGTCATGTACTGTAAGATGCATCTGTTATTCCACATTTGGTTTTTGCTAAAATCGGGTGCATTTTACAATCCCCGTCATCGGATGGCAGCATGAGAGAGTGGCATAAAAATGTACAGACCATCCTCAGGAAAGATCACAAAGTGCCAGGATCAACACATTTTAGATCTGACAAAATACAGTAGTACAAAAAAGGAAGAAAACTCTGGCCCAGCTTCACACAGTAGATATGAAAGCAGAGATTAACGAAAATTAATAAACTGAACCCAGCACGTAGAAAAGTTATAATATACTGCGACAATACTGAGGTTTATCTCAGTAATGCAAGAATAGCTCAAGACCAGAAAATCTATCAACACAGCAATTATTAAATTAACATCTTAAGGAGAAAAATCATATGGCACCTGATAAAATTCAGCAGCAGTGCTAGCACAAGACCAACCAGCCAGGGTGGTACTGGTAAGAGCCATGCAAATGTGAACCATGGAGCAGTAGCAGGCTGGGTGAAGGCGATTTACCAGAAACCAAGGGCCATTTTCACATGAAACGAGGAAATGCTGAAGCTTTTCACCAAAATGGGAGGTAACAGGGAGGCCTGCTCTCACCTCTGTTATCTCTGTGTTACTGGTCCTAGCTAACGGCATAATAAAATTAAAACCACCAGTATGTGTTGGTATAAATATTGGAAGAGAAAGAAAAGTATCTAGTTACAAATGACAGGATTATATATGCAGATGCTAGTAAAAAATTACTAAGATCAATAAGAAAATTTGATAAGGTGACAGAATAAGAAAATATTTAAAAAACCAACAGCATTTCATTAGATTCGTAAGAACTAACTAGAAGTAGAAATGAAAAAAATATAACCCCATCACAAGAGTGACAAAAACTATAAAGCACTTAGGAATAAATTTAATGCAAAGGTAAAGAATCCCAAGAAAATCATAAAACCTTCTAAAAAGTCAGAAAACAAGACCCGAAAAATGGAGGTGATGCACCAGGTTCCTAGATGGAAAAAGAGTATCATAAAAACCTGAATCTTCCCCCAGTTAATATACCTTTAATGTAATTCCAATCAGTTCATTTCTTTTCTGAGCCAGACAAAATCACTTTAACATGCATAAAGAGGCACTAATATTCTGGAACAGCCAAGAAAGATGCACCAAACAAGGCCAGTGAGGGGCACGCCTTGACCAGTGTGAAATTCTGGATATGTGGGTGTGCTCCTTCCGGGCAACAGTGTAAGTACAGGCTCTGCCTGGCAGAGCACATCCCTGATGGGCACTAGGGACAGGGCCTGGACCCTGGAGGCTCAGCAATAGCTATGGGAAGCCTTTTCCACCCCAGACATTTGAGTGTTCCGGCTGGGCCTCCTCAGGGCACTGGGAAGGAGTGACAGCAGGCCAGTGGGCAAGGGTGCTGGCCCCAGCAGAGCAGGCTCTTGGTCCCCCCGAACCGAGAGCAGGGCCGGTTTCCAGGTGTTCCACACAGTATCTGATGAATGAATGAATAGCATCAGAAAGGTATGGACTATCTGGGAGGGGAGACTCCTCAAAAATGACCTATATGCATGCCATCTACTACAAAGCTAAACCAAATATAAGCCAGATACAGGCTCTGTAAAATGCAGCGACAGGAGAGCCTGGATTCCTAGCAAGTGAGGGGCCAGAAATGCATCCGTGAATCCATAAATTCCTCCCTCTATCCACTACTCCATCCCTCCACCTCTCCCTCTCTCCATCTACCCCTCCCCCGTCCAGCAATCCCGGACACCTGCACTGAGCTCTGGCTCTCTGCCCTGCAGTGCGGAAGGCGCTGGAATACACCTGTAGAGATGACAAGCTTCCTGCTCCAAGTTCATACGTGATGAAAATTAACTGCAGAAGACCCACTGCTATGAATTTAAGGTATGAAAATTGTCTGATGTTTCATTACACTAGTCTTATATTTTAGTAAACATAAAAGTGTTCAGAGGTTCACATTTGACTTTGGGGTCCTTACCCTATTTCCCCAATAAGGTTTTATGTACTTCAAGATCTCCTAGAGGAGCACTTTTAGGGGTTGAACACCCTCAGATGGAAAGGGGTGGCTGTGCTGTTTGGGGGAAGTTTGAAGCAAAGAGCACTGTTCCCTGACTAGTCTCAAGCAGGAAACCCTGGGTAGAGGTACTCTCCAAATGACTCACAAGGAGAAAGTCCATAGGGGACTATCGTTATAGCCCTCACTTCCCCGACACCAGAATAATGAAGAGCTTCTACCACAGTTTTTACAATTACTCTACTTGTAGTTACTCCTTTCTGAATTTCTAGAGCTCTAAGACAAATGAAAGAGGAGAATTACTTAAAAGAAAATTGGCTAGCTTAATTACAGTTAACAGGAAAAGATTCAAAGTCTTTCCTCTGCGTGTGTGTGTTTTTTTTAAGTGTTTTGTACCTGTAATGTACTCGTGATTACATTTTTATCTTAAATAGCTCTGGAATTTGAAATATTAGTTGGTTAAGTTAGTGACATTCAATCTAAAAAAACTGAATAAAGAAAAAATAACCCTACAGAATTTAAACACAGCAAAGGTACAAGAAACTAGCAAACTATCAAAAAGTTACTCTTTCCCCCTAAATGGGGAAACTTTTAACTTTTGAAAGATGAATAATAAAAATTACCTTTTAAAGATGGTAGTTTTTGAAGTTCTCTATTATTGCTGGCGCTAAACCTGGAAGAATTTTGCCGTTTGTCTTTCTTCACTACGGGCTGAGGGGCTGGCACTTTTAGTTTACTAGATACTGCAGACGGGGCAGCAACAAGGCTGTTTTTCCTGCTGGGAATCTGTTTCCAAAACGAAAACAAAAACAAATGAGTACGTCAAATGGTTGTATTTTATAGCACAATTAGCATAGGCAAAAAATACACATAAAAATGCAAGTTTTGGACTTCCCTGGTGGCACAGTGGTTAAGAGTCCGCCAGCCAACGCAGGGTACACGGATTCGAGCCCTGGTCCAGGAAGATCCCACATGCCGCAGAGCAACTAAGCCCACGAGCCGCGACTACGGAGCCCACGTGCCACAACCACTGAAAGCCCGCGCGCCTAGAGCCCGTGCTCCGCAACAAGAGAAGCCACCGCAATGAGAAGCCCGAGCACCGCAACGAAGAGCAGCCCCCGCTCGCCGCAACTAAAGAAAGCTCGCACGCGGCAACGAAGACCCAACGCAGCCATAAATAAATAAATAAATAAATTAAAAATTTTAAAAATGCAAGTTTTGCTCTGGGATAGTCTCCTTCACGCTACTGTAAACAACTCAACCCCTTATAGTTGCTGGAGTTTGAGGCTACATCCCACCCCCACCAATGCTACATTTCAAGAGACTTCACAGATATACCTAATTTCCCGTATCTTCTTTCAAACTTCTTACTTACAGGTTGATGATAGTGACCCTCCAAAGATGTTCACATCCTAATTCCTGGATCCTATGAATATGTTTCCTTACTTGACAAAAGGGACTCGGCAGGTGTGATGAGGTTAAGGATCCTGGGATGGCAGATGATCCTGGGTCATCAGGAAGGGCCCCACGTAATCACACAGGTCTTTGTGAGACAAGAGAAGGCAAGGAGGCCACGAAGCAGAGGTCAGAGGACGGAAGATGCTACGCTGCTGGCTTTGATGACAGAGGAAGGGGCCCTGAGCCAAGGAGTGCAGGTGGCCTCTAGAAGCTGGAAAAGCCCAGGAAACGATTCTCCTCTAGAGCCTCCAGAAAGGACTGGCCAGGCTGACACCTTAATTTCAGCCCATTTCAGACTTCTGACCTCCAGAACTCTAAGATAATGAGCTTGTGTTCTTTTACGCCATTAAGTTTGTGGTCATTTGTACAGCACCGACAAGAAACTAGTATAGTTGAATACCTTATAAATGACAGCTTTCCCTGTTTGCTCACATTCAGCCCTCAAAAACCAGTAAAGGCTACTGAAAGGCGCTTTCCTCTTGAGCAACAGGAAATGCTCTTGCTTCTAGCCTTTCCTTGCATTCGTCTCCAGGCTCCAGATTCTGTGTGCTCATCTCCAGCCTGCTCCGTGACCACTAGGCTGTCCCACGACGTGCAGTTGACATGCAAGGTGAGGAGCGTTGCCAACACTCAAGCAGAGGTGGTGGATGAGTGTGAGGGCACACGCAGCGGAGCCAGGGGGGTCCCCTGTCATCCGTGCAGGCTAACGGGTCGAGCTTGCCCAGGAGCCCTGTGGAGCTTGGCTGTGCTCGGCCCCAGCAGTGACGGCTGACAGCCACAAAGGTGAGTGTCCGCTGTCAAGATTCTTTGTGCAACACACTCCCTCCTCCCACACCCTCCTGTCTGCCCAAGGATGGACTCTGTATGTGCACACAGGCTCTTTCAAAAAGCCCATCAAACTCGTCCTAGAAACACGACCCTGCCAAGCCCCTTCCAATTACAGAGCGCCAAAGAGACACACTGACTTGAGCCCCCAACTATATGCTCTCATCCTTGAATGGGATTTTTACTAAGAAGTGAGAGCTGCTTTATTTTTTAATAAGGTGCTTAAGGATATTTGGAAAGAGTTTTCCAAGAAGCCATACTGCCACGCACAGACAGAACTCTGAACCGTGAGCCAGGGCCTGGGTTCCCTTTTCTCCTACAGCCAATTCCTCGAAATGTGCTTTCTTGGGCTCTGACCATGATGTCTGTCGTTCTTTCCACCTAATCATGAAAGCATGGGTCTTTCTTCCTTACAAACACCGTCCGTAACTCTCCTGTTCCACGGAATTCCCCAAGTTAAAACCATCCTGCACGGCTTTCTCTAGATGCCCCCAGAAAGCCCTAGCGGTTACTCCACAGTCTCAAACAGCCCCTCCTAGAAGACGTACTCGTTTCCAATGTTGTTACATACACACACGTCCTGCACACTAAAGTCCGTTTCCTTTTTATTCTCCTGTAATGCCGAACCCAGTGCTATACACATAATGACCGTGACAAACAGCTGGGTACAGACATGAGCAAAAACAACACCGCTGCTCCTACCCAGACAGGAGAACGGACTGTGCGTCTTACCGAAAGAAGCTTTTTGCACTAGGACTGGGTGATCTGGCCAATACACGGAGCAGACCGAGTCCAGGGGTATCGACAGCCACCACAGGGCGCACGCTGAGGTAAGGCTTCCAACGTCTGGGACAACACAGTTACCCGAACACCTGCCGCCTCTCCCTCTGGCCTCCCTCCAGAGCGCTCTCCTCGGGACGGAACGAGCAGAGTGAGCGTCTAGCAAAGAAAACCTGGCTCCATCACCCCCTCCACCTTAAGGGCTGTCTCCAAACTCCCGCAATCGCGGTCACCACCTCCCTGCTCGGGCTGGGCCTGGCGGCCCGCTCTCCACGCTCAGGTCCTGGCGAGGCCCTCCCCGCTGCCCAGGAGTCGCTCCTGGCCCCCTCGGCTGTAACTCCGTCCCTCTGCCAACCCCGAGGGGACGCCCCCGCACAGGGACCCGTAGCTGGGGGTGGGGGCGGGGCTGTCCGGCTGTGACACCGTGCGGGCCGGTTCCCTGAGGGACACGGGGCTGCCCGGGTCCCGACAGCAGGCTGAGGCGCCTGCGAGGTCTGAGGGCTGCTCTGAGGACGTGCGAAGACCCGAAGGGGAGGAGCTCTACGTGTGGGTGTGCGCGCGCGCGCACGTGTGTATGTGCGTGTGTGTGCGCGTGCGCGCGCCCGGCACTGAGAGCCCGCGTGCAGGCGGGGCGAGGCCGAGGCTGGCGCGGCCCCAGGCGCCCAAGCTACGGAGCTCCCCTCTATCTGAAGGAGCTGGAAGCCATGGAGAGCGTTCGGGCTGGGCGATGACACAGAAAGCTTTCCCTTTTTAAAAGGCCCTCAGGCTCAGGTGTGGAAGCCGAAGGGCCCACAAGAAGCCTTTTCTGGTTGTCTAGACAGGAGGTCAAGACCCAGAAGCGGAGGCGCGTGGGCGGGGGGGTGTCTCTGGGAACCCGGGCTCCCGCAGATGGCGGATGGTGGGACGAGTCACCGATGTGGCAGGGAAAACGAATAGAAATAAGCCCAACTGTGAAGGGGCTGCGGCTGCGGCACCCGGGCGGCGATTCCACACGAACGAGGCGAGGAGTCGGAACTCAACGCATCTCCCGCTCCCTCCACGGCTGCTTTATCTATATCACAGTAACCAGTAGCTGAAACCCCATAGCGGCACGCCTTTCCATCAAAGCAGTGTGGTACTGGCGTAAGGACAGACATGCAGATAGATGGATGGAACAGAATTAAGAGCCAAGACCACTCAGTGGGAAAAGAACAGTCTCTTCAACCAATGACGCTGGGACAGCTGGGTAACCACGTGCAAAAGAATGAAATGGGGGGGGGAATCCCTACCTCACACATAAACAAAAATTATAAACAAAAATTAACTCAAAACAGATCAATGACCAGTCATATTCACGACCTAAATTTAAGAGCTAAAACCATAAAACTCTTAAGAGAATACAGAGGTAAATCTTCATGACCTTGGATTTGACAGTGGTTTCTTAGATATAACACCAGAAGCACAAGCAACGAAAGAAAAAACGTAAATTGGACTTGATACAAACTTAAAACTTTTGTGCATCAAAAGGACACACACACACACACAAAAGACACTTTTTATTAAGAAAGTGAAAAGACAATCCATGGAATGGGAGAAACTATTTGTGAGTTTTGTAATAAGGGTCTAGTACCCAGAATGTACAGGCAATATCAGAGATACTGGAGGAATTCCAGGTCCTGCTCCAGACCACGGCAATAAAGCAAACATCACAATGAAGCAGTCACATGAAGTGTTTGGTTTCCTAGGGCATATAAAAGTCATGTTTACACTATACTGTAGTCTATTAAGTGTGCAGTAGCATTACGTCTAAAACAATGTACACACCTTAATTAAAAATACTTTATTGCTAAAAAATGCCAACCATCAGCTGACAGCACAGGGTTGTCACAAACCTTCAATTTATAAAAAAAAACAGTATCTGCAAAGTACAACAAAGTGAAGTGCAATAAAACAAGGCATGCCTGCGTTAAGAACTCCAACAACAGAAAGACAAACACCCATTTAAAAAACTGGCAGAGGGGGCTTTCCTGGTGGTGCAGTGGTTAAGAATCCGCCTGCCAATGCAGGGTACACAGGTTTGAGCCCTGGTGCGGGAAGATCCCACATGCCGTGGAGCAACTAAGCCTGTGCGCCACAACTACTGAGCCTGCGCTCTAGCGCCTGCGGGCCACAACTACTGAAGCCCGCGCGCCTAGAGCCCATGCTCCGCAACAAGAGAAGCCACTGCAATGAGAAGCCCATGCACTGCAACGAAGTGTAGCCCCCACTTGCCACAACTAGAGAAAGCCCGTGCGCAGCACCAAAGACCCAGTGCATCCGGGAAAAAAAAACCTGGCAAAGAACTTGAACAGACGTTTCTCTGAAGATATGGCCAATAAGCACATGAAAAGATGCTCAAGATCTTTAGTCATTAGGCAAAATGCAAATGAAAACCACGACGGCATAACACTTCACACCCACTAGGGTGGCTATAATTTAAAAAAAAAGAAAAAAAGGAAAACAAGTGTTAGGGAGGATGTGGAGAAATTGGAAACACGAGTGCACACAGCACTCACCGAAAGCAAACTGCTTGAGGGCAGGGGCCCTGCTGTGTCCCGTGCTGAATCCCCAGCACCTGCGATGGCGCTCAGCACATAGTAGGACCTCAGAATGTACCTGCTGGACGACTATGAGTGAGTGAATCCACTGAAGGGAAGCCTGAAACGTGAAAGAGAATGACCACTCAACCGGCCAGTCGGGGCGACGGACTTTCTGTCCTAGAACCACAGCCCAGTTTGTCCGTAACCTCGCGGAGAAGGCCCCAGCGCAGGCCGACAGTGCTGTGACTTACTGGAAGCCTCAGCTGGCCATACCCTGGCACTACGCCAAGGTCGAGCTGGCTGCTCCAACCCCTGCTGAGATCCCTACAGCTATTCAGAGCTTGAAAAACATTGTCAGTGGTGCTCAAACCGGTAGCTTCAAACGGCTCTCAGTTAAGGAAGCTCTGCTGAATGGTTTGGTGGCCACTGAGGTGTGGACGTGGTTTCATGTGTGGCATCATTGGCTATGATGCTTGAAGACCAACCTTTCACATGTGATTATATTTGCTTTATTATTTCGGTGTTCTCGGACCATGTATGAGCAGACTGATTTTGAATAAAATAAGGCAATGTGTCAAAACAAAAAAAAAAAGGAAGGAAGGAAGGAAGGAGGGAATGAAGTCAGGGAGGGAGGGAGGGAGGAAAGAAAGAAAGGAAGGAAGGAAGGAAGGGAGGGAGGGAGAAGGAGAAAGGCCAGATGAAGGGAGGAAGATGACTCTGGGAGAGAGAATGTTCCCTCCCACTACAGAGCCCATCCTCTCCCTCTGACCACACCGTACTGCTTCCGGTGCGATCCGGAGCAAACCAGAACAGTCCAGAGAGGTTTGCTCTGTGATGCAGGGCTCAGAGTGGATCAAGTGAAATGGGAAAGTACAGACTTCGCACTACTTTCTTTTTTAAACCATGTGTGTTCTGACCCTGCACCCCGCACCGGCCCCCCCACCCCCGCGCTGTAAAGATAGATATCTAAAAAGAAAGACGAAGATGAGAAGCAGACAAGGTGGCTGTCTCCCTGGGGCCTCTCTGGGTCCATTCCTGTGGGGACTGGCGTGGCCTCCTCTGTGTTTCCGGTGTGGGTCTTTAGAACGTAGGCGGGTCCTGGACCAAGTGGTAAGCAGGGCCTCCTTCCCACCTCACCACCAAAGCCCCTTCTCACATGTTTCTTTACCCTATTTTACCCATTTCCTTCTCTTTTGCCAATTTATGTCTTTTCTCTTAAATTTAATATTTCATATTAAGAAGAGCGACAGCTAACAAAGTTAAGTTCAGTGCGCTCACATTAGAGTTATTTTGGAAGCTACTGCTAGGGTCTAAGGCAGCTCTGTCCAGTAGAACTTTCTGTGAAGTGGGAAATGCTCCCTATCTACTGTCCAGCAGGGGAGCCATTGGCCACGTGTGGCCACTGGGCACTTGAAATGTGGCTAGTGTGACCAAGGAACTGAATTTCTCAATCTAATGTATTTTTCATTAACTTAGGCAGCCACGTGTGGCTAAAGGCTAACTAACCTCTTGGATGGCGCAGGTCCAGCACCTCAGAGCCGCCAGGTACCCACTGCGCAAAACCAGCTTTAGGTTGGAGCTAACGCCCCTTTACAGCCGTGCTCAAGTTCATCTTTAAAAAACACTTATGATAAAGGAAAACGCAAAGTCTTCCAACTAACAAAGATTTTCTTCCTCCCCCCCTTGGAGAGTTAAATTTCTAGGCCGGTTCTCTCACTCCCCCAGGTGGAGAAGACGAAGATGACACTGTCTCCGGCGTTTGGGAAGCAGCCCTTCCCAGCATTGGCTGTTCTCAAACCTGAGGGAAAGCACGGCCCGGGGAGTCTCCGCTCCACACGACAGACTGACAGCAAGACGCAAGGCTGTTACCAAAATGCTGGGCCAGACCAGATGGCATCACTCCCTGACCTGGGCAGGTGCCCAACATTCAAGGAAACACTGAAGACTTTCTCGAGTTGCGATCTGTCAGAGGAATTTTCCCTGTGACTTAGGAAAACGTCCCCATGACATGCTGGTGCAGACTGACTCTCCCAGCTCCCCACACGCAGGTGGAAACCTCGCCACCACTGTGGGGCAGGGCTCAAGGCTTGCATTCGCTCGGAGCTGCTTCCACGAACTGGAACACTTTACATGATTTCACGCAAGTCGCTTGAAGGACTCTTTCTAGAATTACACATCACGTAACGGAGCTTTTATTTAAGAGGGACAGGGATGCTGACTGATCTTATCTGCCAGCTTACCTGCTACACACACGCCACATCCAACACGCACTCAGGAACTCCACAATTTAATGGCGATCCTGTGTTTGCTTAGATGCTTTCAAACATCTGATTTCCTCACTCAAAGCTCCAGGTGGCTCTTTATAAGAATGTGCTCCATCTTGTCCCATCTATTCAGCGGCTGCAAGTGTGACTGACTGGGGGGGGGGGGCAAGTTACTCCCAAGTCTCCTGAATGTCCAAGCTCAACAGATGTGACACTTCACAAGTAACAGAAAACAGTGCTTCACGAGTAAGGACAACAGCACACTCCTTATCTTACCAGTGCTTGCACAGGACGAGAGACGCTCAAAACAAACCTTTCTCTCTCTCTCTCTCTCTCTCTCTCTCTGTATGTGTGTGTGTGTATATATATATATATATACACACACACATATATTTCTGTGTGTGTACATACACACACAACTTATAAATATGTATTATGTTCTGCTGAGAAATACTCCCAAAATAAAATTAAAATAAGAAAGACAGGGACTTCCCTGGTGGTCCAGTCTTTAAGAATCCACCTTCCAATGCAGGAGACGCAGGTCTGATCCCTGGTCGGGGAACTGAGATCCCTCATGCCACGGAGCAACTAAGCCCGTGCACTCTGGACCCGCGGGCCACAACTAGAGAGCCTGCAGGCCACAACTAAGACCCGATGCAGCCAAATAATAAATATTAAAAAAAAAAGATAAAGTACCAAAGATCATATGGAAACCTTGTACTTACATGGAAACCCTAGTTTGAAATGCTTTAATTAGAATAAGGTCTCATGACA